CTGAACCATTTTGTTCAATTTGTGCCTTGTGGACACCAGAGTGAACAGAGCCAAGAATGATAAGAAAAGCCTTTTAGTGGGGCAGATACAATGATGGAGTGATGCGCACCCATAAAGAGTGTCAGGATGGAGAGCCCGGGATGAACTGAGGCCATTGAGGACAGCCCAGGACAACAAAGAGTCTTTTCATATGAGGTGCAGAGCAAGGAACAAGGGTTGCATAGATCCGTCACTGCCTAGGGCAGCTGGCGTCTGCGGGAGGAGAAAGGGGAAGGGGCAGTTCCAGTCTGCCCAGAAAACAGCTGTGCTGGGGCAGGGCGCGGGTCCACAGACGCACAGGGTGGCAGGGGTGCAGGTGAGGTGGGAGACGGGGTCAGGCTTCTGACCCACAGAGCTCTGTGGTCGGGATGTGGAGATGAGCTCCCCCATCTGTGGTGGCCATCTGGGAAGCCCAGGGATGAGGGGATGCAGCTGCAGCTGCAGAAGAATGAGAATGACCCCGCCCTCAGACAGATGCCCGTGTTAAAGGAAGGGCTGGGAGTCCATCCATACAGGAGAGGTGAGCACACGGAGGCAGCAGGGTTCCGGCAGGAGTAAGCCATAGCAACCTCACCTGATATTCCATTTTGAGAGGCTTCCATCCAGCAGTTTTCATGAAGGTAGATGTGGGATCAGGGCCTGAGACGGGCTTTACAGGAAATCCTGAGACTTGCCTGCAGTTAACACCAAACAATGCTGATTCACAAGCCAGAGGTAGTCTCAGGGAGGCAGGCAAAGATTCCACATGTCCACATACATGTGCACACAACCGTGTACAAAGGCATGTACATCCAATATGCTGATAGGTGTGCACTCTCATCTAAGCACACACACATAGCTCACACGCACACACACACACATACACACACACATCCTTCGTTGTTCCTTCCTCTATTTAGTTTTAGTTTGCTTTTGTCTGTTCCAATTCTCCTTTCGGTTTCTCCTTAGTAACATTATTCTTTTCCCCTTTTCTCCCCCACCCCGTTTTTAAGGTTTGGGATGATGGCATCAATGGGACATAATCTCTAACTCAAAATCTGGCATTCTCCAGATTCACAGTGGTGTCAAAAGCTGCCCCGTGGAGTTGAGCAAAGTGACATGGGATAGGTTGGCAAAAATGTTGAGTTGAGAAACACAACGAACCACAATTTTTGTGTGAAAATTAAATGAAATCAAATGCAAGGAACTGCTGGTCTATACACACTTAAATAGAAGATTATCACCACTTTTCTTTTTATGTAATGGAGCATCCGGTTGACCAACTTTCTGCCCTGCATTCCCCTCAGAAGAGGGCAGTCATATCTGCTTGCGTGCCACTGAAAGTTCTGGCTCCTGGGATGAGCTGTCTCTGCTTGAAAAATGCTGCCTGGATCATGAAGGTGGCACTATAGGGTCTCTGCAGAGGTGAGATCAGGGAATTTTGATGCAGGTGCTTGAACATCCTTGGATATAACATTATCTGGACCCAGCTGACTTTGGAGACGTATCTGAGATTAGAGAGGAGACAGAGTGTGTGTTTTAGTGTATCGTGGGAGTGTTTGTATTAATGTGTATGAATATGTTTGTGCGAACATGTGTGTGTTAGTGTTTGTGTGAAAGTTTATGTGTATTTGTCTGTGTTAAGTATATGTGATAAGTGTTTGTGTGTGTGTGCACAAGTGTGCCTATGTAAATGTACATGTGTGTCTGTGTGGGCTCATGGAATAGAAACTGGTGGGGATTCAAACAGACCTGCTATTATTTGAGAGAGGGAGGAGCAATTTATCAATTAATTACACCTGGGAGATCAGGCATGGACTTGGAGATGTTTTTAGTGCATTTTACAGGTAGAGACCTGGGACACTGAGGGGCTGGCTGCTTTGCTCAGGGTTACCCTGTGCCTGCTGTCACCTCCGCACTCTCAAAATACTGGTCAACATGATGTCTGATGCTAGATGCAGCCCACTGAAGCTGTGGTCTAGAAAGAATGCTGAGGTGATCCAATTAATCCCATTAGCACACAGTATGCATGATGAGGGTCTTGGGGACCCAGACCCACATGGGGGTTACGACTGTGTTTGCATTTATTTTTGCCATAGAGGCTGTGCAAACAAACGCTTTAGTCAGAGAAGAGTGTGTTGAGGTCCCCTTTCCTGCACTTTGGGTAACTTCTGTATTTTAACTCTCTCAGAAAGTTGATGTTGCTTTAATCTCTTTGGGGACTTCTGAAAGAAAGGGGCAAGTGGGAGATGCGTGCGCTGTGTGCTCCCTGCACAGGGAGGCAGAAGGCAGCTAGTGGATGCAGCTGCCCAACTAGCCCCCGAGTCCCCGGGAGTAAGAAGCCTAGTCACTTCCGCATACTCTGGCTCAGGGGAAGTTGTTCCAGTGATGAAGCCTCTAGAATGCTGGTCCATCCAGTCATCACTGTGACTCTGCCAGTACCTGTGAAAGGAGAGGGTCTGGTTCTATTTCTTAATTTTGGAACCAGATGGATGGGCCTACCGAGATAGAACAGTGCTGAAGGCCTTCCTCAGAGAGCCAATGGCATTGCCTCCTAGGTGTCTCCCTTTTAACCATGGCACCTCCAGGGCACAGTCAGAAGCTAGTTTATCTGTGGATGCCCAGTGCTTTGGGACAAGTAGACAGTGGACATGGGTCGAGGAGAAGTGAGTGGAGTTAGTTGTGGGATGGCTCAAGAGTGAGTCTGGTGAGTGTCGAGGAGGAGGCTCTAAACAGGAACAAGGCCAGGTGGAGAGTGGACTGTGCCTCAGTGTGAGGCAGAGGCCAGACACAGCCCACACCTGCCAAGCGTTCCTCTGACCCTCTGGTCACTCAAGCCTATAGAAGCCCTTGCCTGTCCCTCAGTACCTGAAGTGGCCTAGCACACCTGACAACAGGCATTAAAATCAGCCTGCCAACCAGCAAGGGAACCTGCTAATGTGGGTATAAACACATTAGAATTGTCAGACAAGTCAAGCTGGCAGCTGACGCTGTCTAGACTCGGCTAATACAGCAGAGGCTCTCCCAGTACTGACGGCTGCAGGGATGGTGCCACTGGGTGCTAGCCTCGGCCTGTGTGCTTGCTCACACGTGTGCACATGTGAGTGTGTGTTGTGTTGACATCCTCCCCGACAGAGTCCTGGAGGCGAGCTCTCGGAGTTGGGTGGGGTTGTCACTTCTAGAACAGTCAGGCTGCTTTGGATAGAAGTGGCAAAAGTCACTCTGGCCAACTCAGGGAAGGAATTTATTAGGATAAGGGGCTAGAGTAAGTCCCACCATCAGAGGGATAGCTGTAGACTTGGAGTAGAGAAAGACAGGGACCGAGTAGCAGCGGAGAACCTCGGTAGTAGGAGCAGGACTTGGCTGGGAAGATGCCAGGTGGCACAAAAGATCAGATATCGGCTCTATTGTCCAAAGAGGCAATAATCTCCCTCCTCTTTTTGGCTAGCTTGGGGGTCCTTTGGTAGAGATAGTACCTTCTGATTGCTTGCTGTATGCTTCACCTAGGACTCCTCTGGGGGCTGCAGAGGGTAGACAGCAGCGTAGGCTTTTTCTTCTGGGCTGGAGAGGTCAGCAGAGTAGACATGGCTCTCATCCTGCCCGGGGAAGGCTGTGCCTAGGGCTGCAGCTGGGCAATATGGTGGCTAAGGCAGGAGAGGGCAGCGTGCTGATGGAGGCCATGGCTTCACTTGGTAGGCAGGCTCCTGAGCGACCCTCATGTCTGCACAGTAGGAGACATCTGCAGCTCTCAAAGGAAATGGTACTGAGTTATAAGCTGCGCTGGGAGCAAAAGTCACTTCTAAGCACGTGTTAGGTGGTTAACTCCCACAGTGTGGGAAGAATGTCCATAGGACCCTGCACTGGCATCCCTCGGGACTCTGGGGCCTGTGTCCTCTGCTGTTGCACCCCGCTGTGGCTGTCCTTGTTCCTCTCCTCCACTTGTACCGTGAGCCCTCGATAGCTTTGCTTTTGTGACTCAGTGTGGCCATATCCAGGTGAGGTGAAAGCGAGGTCTCTATGAAGCAGCCCCAAAGTCTCCCTCCAACAAAAACCCACCCTTTCCCCTCATCCTTGGCTTGCCTATCAAGTCCTTGACTTCCAAAGGACTCCACTCCCTGTCAGGGGCTAGAGCAGGGAAAAGAGCCCATAAAGCTAACAGTGGCCACTGCATGGTCTCAGCCAGAGCAGGGTCCACAGGGAAAGCAGCCTGATCATACAAGGCTTGGGTGGGAGTAGGGGAAAACAGGGACAAGGACTCTAAGATTGGTCCTGAGGAATCCAAACAGCCAGTGGAAGCAGGCTGGAGATGTGATGTAGAGAAAGGGGCTGCTAGTGTAGGAGACAGGGAAGGAAAGGCATGCCATAGGCACCAAGGTAGTGAAGCCATGAACCGTCCACATTGCCTCCCCCATGCTGTGGCTTCCTCCGGACTCTGGATCGGTCAAGGCCAGACATCTCCTGGAGGGGGAGCTGTGGTACTCTCTTTCTCCCTGCAGGGTCAGGTTATTGGTAAGTGTCAGGATCTCCCGTTTTCTGTCCCAGAGCAGGCTCCCTTCCCTACCTCTCCAGCTTCTGTGGTTCTGAACCAGACTTGTTAACACAGTCGGTGTTTCTGAGGCTTCCCTGCCTTTCCCTGCATGGAGCCATGGCATATTCATCTGGCGTCGCTGCTCCAGGGCTCTCTCTGGCAGAAAGCTGCCTCTGTGTGCTGCTGGTGTCTAAACTATCTGAGCTCATTGCCTCTCTTTCTCCTCAGATGACCCTGCTCCTACTTCACAGACATCGAAGGAAGGCCGGGAAAAGTGGGTTTGTCTGGTGTCAGCCTACAGGGGGCGCTGAATGACCAGTGCCCACCTCACTGCTGCTCTCCTTTTCTGCAGTGGTCAAGTGCATGCAGTCCGGGCTTCACTGGGGACTCTGATCACATAACTCCTCCATGAGCTAGGGATCAGGCCTTTGGAACTCCAAAGCCCTATAGACTAATGGTTGCTGGAACATCCACCTTGCTTAGCCAGTCAGGCCCCTCTGATCACATGGCTGAAGAAAAAGCAGCTTCTTTGAGTCCTTCAGTTGACAAAAGATGGAGACTCATGGGACCTAAGCAGATTCAGGAAGAACTGCTCAAGAAAGCAAGCCTCCTGGACTCTGGAGCTGCTGCAGGGAAGGGTGGCCAAGATCTGGCCCATTCTGAACGGAGCCTATCAACAGCACTGGACAAGGCTGGACTGGACAGGCCTCTGGGCTACAAGGCCTGCACAGAGCAGAGGCAGGGTTCCTTCACAGAGCTGTCCTGTCTCCAGGAGAGCTCAGGCGACATGAAAGCCCTGAAGAGGAAGCCAGAGGACCCAGAAGGCCAGCTTGGCATTCCGCAGCTGCCCCAGGATCTCCCCGGAGCCTCGGCTGACTGCACAGAATGCTCAGTATGGCCGGGTGCAGCCCGGAATGGGAAAAGAAGCGCTTTCAGGAGGCCAGCCTCGCGACGCGTGAAGCCCACATGCTCCCCTGCGTTTCCAGACAGTGGAAACGCAGAGGGCCCATGGGAGCTCTCGGGACTCATCACCACGGTGGATATCCCATGTTGGGCTCAGCTGTCAGCTTTCAAGCTCACGGGAGATTTCTGGAGACTGCACATGCTGTCCCAGAACATTCTATTCTGCAATGCTTTCCACGGGGCTCCCACACCGTGGCTGGATCACACCCAGGTGCAGGCTTCCACCTCCTCGACACCTTCCGCCACAGCCTGCCGGGTTCTCTTGCCACCCACACTCTCATCCCCAGGCTTGCCCACTCAGAACTGGTGTGCAAAGTGTAACCTCGCCTTCCGTCTGACGGCTGACCTGGTCCTCCACATGCGGTCCCACCACAAAAGGGAGCATGGAGGCCCTGACCCACATTCTAAGAAACGCAGAGAGGAAGTTCTCACTTGCCCCATTTGCCATGAGTACTTCCGAGAGCGCCACCATCTTTCCAGACATATGACATCACACAGTTAGTGGATGGCTAAGGAGGAGCCCGATGGCCATAGTATCCAGTGCTCAGTGGTGAGGCACGGGCGACTCCTGGCCAGCATTGAGAAGGTGGTCACAGGTGTCTTCAAGGTTGTTCCCTTTGCTTCCCAGAGGTGAATGGCTCAGTTATAATTTGTCAGATGTCCCCCGGCCCTTGTGATGTGTTTTCCTGGAAAGCCATTCATTGAAATGTTGAGCTTCGCTCATGGGTTTAGGGAATAAGGGGACCCATGACCTGGGGTGCAGGGCTGTTCCTGGCTCTGCTCCCATTGCTCTGCCTGGAGCACATGGACACAACACCTTGGCTTTTCTGACCAGCAAGCCTGCATTCAGTCTGGGCTCTTTCACTGCTGAGCCGCGGACTTGGATCTGTTTAACTTGCCGACCCTCAGTTCTGTTGTTTTAAAGTGGCGCATTGGCAGAATGTCATCGGTCTTGAGGAAGGTGTCTGGGAAGTGGCCAGATCATTTCCTGGTAGGTTGCGAGCACTGAGCCCATGGGGCTCATGGTCACTGCGCGCGCTGGTCAGCTACATTACTTGTGAAATCTCAGGGGTGAACGAGTACTGTGTTTCTCTGCCACGAGCATGCAGTAAAGCTGAGGGTGAGCCGGACATGGTAGACATGCTCAGGCTTCATTCCCCGTCCCTGCTGCGTCACACAGTGAAGCTGGGAACACCTGATGGCAGCCAAAATGCCAGCTAGATTCTCCGCCTCTGCCTGGGTCACAAGCCTAACCTCTGGGTCAGTGTAAATCCAGGCCCAAAGTGACCAAGTAGGAAAGTGGCCTGGCTGAATCCACAATAAGGGAGTGGTTAGCAATTCACCCATCCTGTTCTCTGGGTCTTCGCACCGTGAATATGTGAGGAGAGGAAAACAGAAATACATCACTTATTCGGCATGATTTCTGGGTGCCATTCTTCCTTGTGATCCTGAGTTGGGCAGGAAAGAGCAACTGGAGGACACTCAGAATGAGGTCCCCAGGAGGCACTTGATATTTTCATACCGTCCCCACAACACTTGGAAAGGTTGACAACTTCCCCAAGGCAACCACTCTGGTTTATCGGTGGAAGAACAAAACCCTGTGACCTCCATATCTGAGTTCGGTCTCTTCCTGCATGCTGCATGTCTGCCTAGCTAGCGTGGTCATGGAGTACGGCACGACTCAAGGATTGGAGCTGAGTCTGACCTAGTCTCTTCATGTCCAGTTTCAACTTAATCTTGCTACTTGTGCAGAAACACAGACATATAAACACATACAGACACACACACAGATACACCCACAGGCACACACACACACAGACTTACATAAACACACAGAGACAGATACACACAGACACAAACACATATAGATATATACAGACATACACAGGCACAGACACACACAGAGAGACCTACATAAACACACACAGACATGCACAGAGAGACACATACAGTTATACACAGGCACAGACACAAACACACACAGATATATACAGACACACACAGGCACAGATACACACACAGAGACTTAGATAAACACACAAATACAGACACACAGAGACACACACTTACACAAACACACACATAGATATACACAGACACACACAGAGAGACTTGCATAAACACACAACACAGAGACACACATAGACACAAATGCAGATACACACACACACACACACACACCCCACTCGAGTACTTTTCTCCGTCCTGTATACTAAGTAGCATACAGATCTGCCTTGTTCACGGTAGCGCTCCTCACTAGAAGGAGCGGGAGTTTGCTGTCTGTTCCCTGCTGCATTCCCATCACCTCTGACAAGGCAGACACGCAATAGACACTCAGCAGGTATCTGCTCAAAGAAATAATAAATGGATGAGTTAATAAATGAATGATCTGCCTGACGCTGGCTTTGTTCCTGACAACTCTGGTGTTGGCACTGGGGGACAGGAGATGGCATCTGTCAAGAGCGTGTCCACGCTTATTTCTGGCACAGTGGATTGACCCACGGTTTCTATCCATCTCTTTGGAAGGGCGATGGTTCTGCCAAGAGGTGCAGACGATGCTTAGGATTGTTGCCAACAAGCTGCTTAGCAGTCATTCAGATTTACAAGTTCAGGGATGTTCAGGAGCTCATGACTTAGGATTTGTTAGTGACACAGCTCCTCAGAGTGAGCACCCTGGGCTCCCAGGCTTCCTCAGAGTAAGCACGCTGGGCTCCCAGGATTCTCTGGAAATCAAGGTTCCTCTTGTGGCTTCCTCCTTCATGCCACTTTAAACTCTGACTTCCTAAGTTATCTCTTTCATAAAAAAAATAGTCTGGATATTTTTCATTCCTCAAAATTCACATTCAAGTCCCAGCTCCCTGCTTTCTCTCTGATGTCATGGCTGAAAAGAACAGCCTCTGACCTTGGAGGAGGTCCCCACATAAGACACTTCATCTGCCGACACCTGTCCCTCTTTTACGCTCTAAAACTGTGAGCCATAGATTCCTGTTGTTCATAACTGTTCAGTCTAGGGATTTTTTTTTACAGCAGCCTGAACAGAGGGGGCAGCTGCTCCTATACACAGTTCACTTATTCCTTCTAGGGTGTAGAGATGACTCAGTGGTCCACAGTTCTTGATCTTCCACAGGACCCAAGCTGGATTCCCATCACCAGCGCTGAGCTGTCACAGGCCTGAAACTCCAGCTTCAGGGAATTTGACACCCTCTTGTGGCCTCAGGGATGTGGGCACCCACGGAGCAAACCACTCCCACATCCGTAAATAACAAATAAAAGAATTCTTGGAAAAATTAAGGCTTCTAAGAAATCCTTAGGTGCAAGGGCTTATGACTCCGTAGTAGGGTGTTTGCCTAGTATGTGTGAGACACAAGGCTCAGTTTGCAGCCATACCCCCCCCCCCAAAAAAAAAGAATTTGGAAATGAGACTGAAATAAGGCATTCTGAATTCAACTTACTAGACAAGGTCTTTACCCAATCCGTATCCTGAGCACTTAGAGCCCTGAGTTTAGACCACCATTGAGGTTTTTTTTTCTTTGCCTATCATCTTGGAAACAGCTCCAACCACTATGATGCCAGGCCCTCATTCTGAGCTTGTCACAGATTCCTGGATCTTTAGGTCAGGGATCTAAACATAAGTGACTGTATATGGTTAGGAAAACACATATAGGCGAAGGTGCCAGAGCACAGGAATGGCCGTGGCACACCTCGGTGACAGGTCTTATCAAGAGCTTGGGTAGGTTTCCTGAGGAAAGCTTCCTCAAGTCCAACCTGGAATCGGATAAAAGAGAGAGCAGCGTAACTGGGTGCCACCTCCAACCCCCCAACACCTCTATGGCAGTGAGTTCCCATGGGCCATGGCCTGGAATAGACTAAAAGAGAGAACAGCAAGCCAGGGATTAAAGAAAGTAGTGGTCGACTAACTCGGCTGCTGTTTAACACAGATGGGCAGGTGAGTGCCTTCTTGGGGTGACTCAGAGGACGGTTCCCTGGACGAGGACTGGGATCTTGATACCTTGCTTCCTTTCTGTGCATCCTGGCAATGCGAGTGACACGGGCAACGTGGCATAGACTTGCTGATCCATGTCAGTGTAGAGGATGAAAGAGCCATCACCTGCTGTCCCTGAGTCTGATAGACGTCTAGCTGCTGAATGGGCTAGGGGCTAGGCCCAGCCCTTCTAACCTCACTCCTGGCCCTCCCCTCATGAGCTCTGGAAGAAGACATGCTACTCAGGATGAAAGCGTGAAAAGCCCAATCAGCCCTTGCCTCCTTCATCTCCTCCCCCCCGGGAAGAGGTGGAGCCCCCCCTAGAGGCATCCGTAAGCCATTCTCCAGATATTTCCCTTATCCCTGCCATTTTCACAATTTTCTTTTTACAAGTCTTGTTACAGGTTTAATGGTAATATACTAAATGAAATATAAATCCGCTAAGATAGCCCCCTCCCCCTTAAGGAAGTTATTCTGTGATGTGATATGATTTAAGACACTTTTTAGGTGAGACTGTTTAGATATCATTTGTATGAGGGATGCAAAGGAAAAGGAGGAGGTTTTAAATTTAGTTTTCCCTCTTTCATCCATGTTGTGTGTCCCAGGGCTGGGGGCAGGGGACCTCTCGGGTCTGGGCCCCTTGCTATTATTCTAAGATCTTGAGATTAAGAGACTATTTTCAGCACTAGCCAGCAAGGCAGAGCTGAGGTCCCTAAGCCAGGTGGCAGCAGCTTAGTCCTTTTGGAACCAGTAGGTGGTAGATAAGTGCCCTCCTGTGGAGACTAGAGGGCGAGCTTCCTGGCCCAGAACTGGGGTTTAATATGCCTAGCTTCCTTTCCTTTCATGTGGTAATGGTGGTGACCCTGGGCACGGTAAGGTAACAGAAAGATCAGGGGCCTCCCCTCTGCTGTGTTGTCCTAGCCTCAAGATAGGGGTTCTGTGGGGATCTCCATCTGCTCTTCTCCCCTTCCTTGTTGAATGGAGTGTGATCCCTGATGCACCGACAGAGAACAACAGAAGCCCCTTAGGCATGTCTTGCCCCAGAACCAGTTTGGAATCTAGGACTCTTATAATCCTCTAACCTTGCAGGCAATGGGAACGCCCGGACTGTTAGAACCAGTTGGACTCTCAGGGGCACACCAGCACCCTGGACCAAGGTCATCCCGTTCCGCTTATAGTATTAAGCTCCTTCTCCATCTGGTCTGTAGGAAGGGACAGGTAAGTCTGACCCTTGAGAGGAATGCCCCTAGAGAACAAGGCCTTTCAGTAAGATCAACCCCTTACAGCCCATATATGAGGCAAAAGGCTGGACAGGAACCAAGCTGGAGCCTCAGTTCAAGAGGGATAATGACAGATAGTGCCAATAGTAGAGTAATGTCAGATATTAGCTCATCAGACTCTGGTGTCTGTGTGACCGAGGGGTCTGGGCAAGAGAGGGTGTCTGCCAAGAGGTCTGAGTGTCTGAAAGTAATGTATGGGAGAGTCCAAGATGCTCAGTTGGGAACAGGAGTTGCCTTGGCTTGATGGACCTGAGAGTGTGCTGGTAATAAGTGCAGACATGAGTTTCTGGGACCTGTGTGTGTGTGTGTGTGTGTGTGTGTGTTCTTTTCTCTTTCACTCTATCCTTGTCTCCAGGTAGGTACCATGAGACACTCACATAAGGAAGACTGATTCACTTTGCTATGCAGAGAACATTAGTGTCTTTTAACTTCAAGTCCCCTTCCCAGGCTCAGGTCAGGGGATACTGGAATGTGATGGAAACATTGGAATCTTCAGGCAGAAAGATACGGGTTGAGGTCCCACCCATCCCCTCACCGGTGGTGCCAGCCTGCTCTATTCTTTGAGAGGAAACAGCCTGGCTGATGGAGGCAGAGGGGGACCTCTGGAAGGAGCCTGGATTGTATTCAGTCTCCGAAGAGTAGTCTGAGGGATCCGGCTGGAGAGTGGGTGGAAAAAAAATCAGTGACTTAGGACCGTAGCTGACGTCATCCCTGGGAGCTGCCTCCTGAGGATGCTGCTGCTGTTGGTCTGCCCCTGCCCGCTGGGCATCTGGAGGGATGCTGACGCCTCAACTCTCTGGTCACTTGTTCCAGATTTAATCTTCACCCCAGGTTCCTCTAACCAACCAAGGTAGAACCAGCTCACTACCAGGTGGGCTCCCAAGGCAGCTACCGTTGAATCAGAAAAGTGATGGCCTCTGACTTTGGCTAGGCTTCTGATTAACTGTAATTTCTCACAGATGTAATATTTATCTTCCCTACTAAACACATGAGGGAGCTGAGACCCAGAGAGTGAAGTAAGTCTCTTGGAATCACACAAGCAGTGGAAGACTGGACTGGTCTTTGCACTGAGGCAGGCTGACTCTAGTCTAGGACCATTGCCTTTTAGGGACTCTTCTCTAGGCAATGCAGTTGGGACTGAATCTCCCCAGAATGCAAACACTGGGTGGCCCAAAGGAGAGCAAGCCTACTGTGTGGCCTCAGGCAGGTTTTTGGGCTTCCTCCATCTCAGTGGCCTCCCATTTGAAGGGTGGCAGTAACGGTTACTCATGTGAAACCTAAGAACCTTGACTATCCTCCCTGCAGAACATCCATGGGTTCCCTAACATCTGCTGCCCCCAAAGTGCTTGGTCTCAGGCCTAAAATCTCTATCCGTAAATGCCTGCAGTGCCAGATAAGGGGAAAAAGGACGCACAGAGCAACACCGGTGCTGTGATTCCAGATGCACTCTCGTCTTTTGGGATGACTGCTATCTGGGCATCGTGCTATACACTTATTATGGGGACCTAGAACAAGAACAAAGTATTAAAAAGGAAGATAGAAACAGCGCTGACAGGTCTCTCAGCAAGAATTTAATTTAGGTTATAACCTAAATTAGAGGGAGAAGCAAGAGAGGGAAGAGAGGAGGGGAAAGAGGAGGAAGGAGGGAGGGGATCCCTAAAATTTAAATGCCTAAGCACCATGGAACACTCATACATTTACCTTATAAGGGAAGACAGAGGCCGTGTCATGAGATTACTAGCAAATCCCCCAGCTATGGCCCTGCTCTGATGCAGGCAGACGGGACCTGCAGTGTTGCCTTGCCCTGGATTGGAGAGTCTAGACAGCATCAGTTCAAGCGTGTCCCTTGAAGTTTGGTTGCTGTACTCGTAAATCTTTGCTGTTTGGTTGGGAGGTCAGGGTTCCTTATCTTCCGAAAGCTCTGCCACTTTATTAGAGCCTGGCCAGTTACAGCTTAACATTCCCAGATGCCAGGGCTAAACAATACAGGTGTGTGGTCCAGTTTTTTAAAATTATATTATCTTTAAATTAGTTTACAAAGTAGGAGGAGCAAGTTGTATGAATCCCAGGGCACCAGCCAGAGGCTTTGCTCCCTATGTCACCTCTGGGCTCTAGAGCTCTTCACTTTAGGTAGGGTGTCTGGGGGCTGCAGCTGGGGCAGTATAGACTTGCACCCTGTTATCCCGCCATTCAGACGTGATGACTGCACACCCAAGACCACGGAGCAGAAGAGAACAAAGGTGACAGTGTTTGGTGGGTCAAGACATAACCCCAGGGTCGTGGGGGAGGGATGGGATACATAAGGAAGGGCTCTAGCCTCAGTAGCTATGAGCTGCAGGTGGCCTCTGAGTACCAGAAACACACAGATGTGCAACAGCCTCAAACTACACACTACAGTTGAAAGATCACACAGAAGCCGTCTACTCGCCACCATTGTTATTCTCCAATAGTCTCAAGAGGGTATTGTGGATACAGGAAGTCAGGTGGTAAATGACACAGATGGGCTCAGACTTAGGGTGGTTTGATTTGGGATCTTACTCTACTGTAGGCTTGAGTATTGAAAGCATCTTGACTCAGTGATATTATCTATTAAGGAGGAACTTACAGAGGATAAGTACTGTCCCAAGTTAAAGAATAGCTGAAACGTTGGAAAGTGCTACCAGCGTCAAGCTCTTCTTCCCTTGGCTTCTTGAAAAATGGCTACTACAGAAGGCTACTCTCACGTGCGCTTTACATCTGTGGCTCGTGATAGCTCATGCTAGAGCCCCAGTAGTGACCCAGAGGACCTGCCATTGCAACTCTGGCCATGGGGACCCTCAGTTTCTACTTCACACTCCCAGGGCCCTCTGGAGGGTCTCCTTGGCTCTCGTAAGGGCCACTTCTGAAGGAACAATCACATCAGGTGTCACACCCACCCCTTCCCACGAGCTGCCGTCCGCGGCACCCACAGAACGAGCTGTGGGGATGGTGATGTAGAGGTGGGTGTCATCCACGTGGTAGGTCTGTGGTGGCTGGCAGCCTCCACTGGTCACTTCACCAATGACCAGTGCCCGGCCCAGCCTCTTCATGATGTAAGTGAATTCCTCAGCAGCACCGGCTGTCACACCACTCGTGAGGATGGCCACATTTTTCTTGGAGCCGTAGCGTTCACCTGGAGGACAGAGGTCCTTCAGCATGGGAGAAAATCAACACCCTACCTTTTCTGCAGTATCCAGATGAGAAGAAGAGGACCATAGGGTTAGTCTTGCTCTTTTGTGTCAATATGTGGGCCACTGGCCTCAGGCTGCCTCTCTGATTCAGGCAAGAAAGGCTTGCCTTTTCCTGAGTTTTTGGCATGCAGCTGTGTCCTGAGTAATGGTGCCCCCAACTCTAACCTGAGAGTCTCTTTGCTTTGGGCAGCCAGAAGAGCAACATTTATTACTTTATTGCTTGGTGGTTGTTTGAAACTTTTGAGTAGCTATGTTAACAAGTATAAAAGTAAACAAACAAAATTAACTTTAATCATGATTTGATTAGACAATATGTCAAAGATACATTTATTTAAAATGAAATCATTGCACCGAAGCACAGAGGTTCAGCTTTCTGCTTCTCCCTGCCCACTTCTCCTGTTAGGGCTTCCCCTATCCTTTCTCTCATTTCTGCAACAGGTTTTCTAAATCTGGTGTGATGTTACAATGAAAATTCATCTCAATAAGGACACTCACATTTAGAGTCTTAGTGGCAGAAGGTGGCTGATGGGTTCTGTATCGGACCCCGACCCCCCCCAGAGTTCTAGAATCTTTAAATCTGAGGTTATCCTAATTTTCTGGTTTTGAATATCTGTTTAAATTTAGAATTCACCTGATTCTGATTGTTTTTCTCCTTCAGAGCTTTCAATGTTATTGGATAAATCCTGGAAACTATGGTGACAAAACGCTTACGTAATGAGAAAGTGTAGAAATGAAACCGGCCAGGTACATCTCTGGTCAGAGGTACCCTATTGGCACCCCTTATGGCCTCTTGGGGGATGGGAATACAGGGTCCACACAGGGCCCTTGATTCTGCATGCTGGGCAGAGGGAGGGAGGACATTCACCAAGAAACACGACTTTGAGAGTCAGGGGTCTATGAAATCCAGGGGTGCTTCTGCTGCTTTGGATGTTCTTGGGCCCAGACAAGGAAAGGAAGGCCTGTTAGAATCTGGACATTTCTCCAGATAGTTGTGATGAGCGGCTACCGAGAGTTCAAACAAGACGAGCTCTGAAAACACCCATTTGATTAGCAAGATGTGTGTGTGTGTGTGGGGGGGGGGTGTCCTGGTCCTGCATTTGTTCTACAGGCTGCTAACACTACTGTCAAGACTGGGGGACATGCAGGTGTCAAGCAAAGTAACTTTCGAATCTTGGCTCTTTCACTTGTCAGCTGAAGGATCCTAGACAAGCTATTCAAGCCATCTAATGCCCACTTTTCTTCTCTAGACCTGTGCTTTCAGATCCTGAAGGATGTCCTGGTATTATGCCCAATGGACCAGAACAGGGACCTTATGATCTGTTATTGTTATTTTTATATACTCTCAAGTTATCTTTCTCTGTTTTTTTTTTTCTTCCAAGAAGGTTTTAGAATGAGAACACAGGGAGAGAAAAAGACTTCATTTACCTGTGAGCTGAGTGTGGGTCCAGAGTTCGCTGACAGAGTCATTGGGTCGGCTGTAGATCTTGTCCAGCAGAGTGGGGGGTGACTCATCAAAGAAGTAGGAACACAGGGCTGAGATGGAGGAGGTGGGGCCGCCAATGTTGAACCTGAGAGAAGCAGAGACAAAGAGGAGTTGGGCTCACAGAGAGGTGCTCAGAGCCCCCTAGAGTTTGGGTCTTTTTCCTGTGCAGAAGGGTTCTAATTTCAGGACATCTCTGCCCTTTTGTCCCTTGTTAATGTAGCTACTCAAGGGCAGCCTCCACAGTTCCAGGGGTGGCAGGATCCAGGGGATTCCACAGAGCACGAGCCTCTTGAGACTAAAAGAGTCTGTGATCAATTACTTTCAGAAAATACTGGCCGGGTGTGGCAGCTCACACTCTTAATCCCAGCACTTGAGAGGCAGAGGATGGTGAATCTCCGCAAGTTCAAGGCCATCATGGTCTTCATAGTGAGTTCCAAGTCATGTGAGACTACACAGTGAGACTCTATCTCAAAACAACAATAGCAATAATAACAAAAGAAAGACTCAAAAAGAATGAAAAGAAAATACTGGATTTGGAGCCTGCTCATATATATTCGTGTATTAGAGGCTTTGATGAGTCCTGTAATTAGGAATTTGTTGCAATTGTTTTCCCACAGATCAGCCATGCACTGCTCCTCTGCATCCATACTGAGTATGAATACAACACAGAATCCATCAAGAGTAGCAACCCAAGTTACTAGTGACCCTTGATGTAGTAGTAAACTCAAGATTGTGGAAGTATAGAGGGGTGAGTTGCATTCAACCTTGCATGATCCTTGCCTCTCTGGGGATGACAATGCATCAGGAAACTTTCCCAGCGGACAGCCAGGAGCCATCAGGGCCCTTGACCTCAGCATCTGACCCCCAATCCCAGGTCAGAATAATGTAGGCCAAAGGTGTCTGCAGCTGGGCTTCCCCTTAAAAAATGAGGAAGATATTTAATTAAAAAAAAAGATGCTTGTCCTGGTGGTGGCTCTGGTATTCGTTAAGGTGTCTAAGGAAGAAAGTGACCAGCTAAGTTTCTGGGTGTATAGAAAATCTGGCTACAGAAAATGATCTCCCAGGGAGGAGGCCAGTCTCATCGTGATTCAGCGCCATCTAGTGACTGTTTATAGGCATGCAAGAGGTGCAATTATAATAGGTGTGGGTGCTTAGGTGGCCAGCTGCTTGAGTCTTTCTCCAGCAGCAGAGAAGTGGAAAAGGTTCCCATTGGAGACAATCAGCCTGACCTTTCTCGTACTGGTGGGTGGTACCCAGGACATACCCACCAATAGGCCTAGGTCTGGAGGGAGGCCTGCGTCTGGCTACTGTCCGAGGACTCTTCTGCTTGGAAGAGTGGGGTTGGTGACGATGGGGGTCTATGGGAGGAACTCACCCCAGAAAAACTATTTTTGTTTCTTTCTCTTTTTTTCAGAGGCAAAGGGAGGTGAGTGGGTGAAGATGTCCAACAACCATTTTGTCATGCAAAGCTTTCTTGTTACAACAGCATTTGTTCATTCTCAAGTTGTCTTAGGGACCCTGGCTTTGTGGTGCTCAGGAGAAAGGCTGTTTTTGGGGTGATGCTGCAGATGTACAACCACAGTGGGGGTTGACAATTAGGATTATAGATTATACGACTTCTCCACCCCCCAGAGCTACTGACACAGGGCCCGCGTGGGGCCACGGATCAGCAGTTTTTTATCTTTCTTATCTCTGCCCTTCTCATTTGATTTCTTTTGCCTGACAACAGATATGGGGTAACTCTTCATCTGAAATACACATTGAGATCACTGGGGAGCTTAAAAAATTACCAGTGCTGAGGTCCCTTCAGCTAATAAGATCTGAACCCCTGGGCTAGCTGGCCAGATTCCTGGCAGGCTGGTGGCCTGGTTCCTTTCAGCTCCTTGATTGTGTCGTGGGGTCCCCCACGCCTTCCACTTTGGCCTGGAGCTCTGCCTGTCTTCAGCCAGTGCCATGGCTCAGCTTGGGATCACTGCCTCGTGCACTGACCTCATGTCGATGATCAGGGCGTCCGTGTGCACAATCTTTTTCCAGACGTGTTCCACCAGCAGCTCAGAGACCTGGGTAAGCAGCTCACAGTCCCCAAACATGTCGAACCTCAGGTAGCCAATGTTGTCCTCCAGCACGTTTGTGTGGAAAGAAAACTTGATCAGATCTTCGAAGGCTTCTGGGGAAGGGATCTGAAAGAGTGGAAGCCTCGCTTAGATCAGGAGAGCAGTAAAAGGCAGAGCCCAGGAGAGTGGTGCCACGGGCTACTGAGGAAATGGGAAAGAGTTAGTGGTATCTGGGAGGGTAGCATTGGGCGATGGGGCTGGGATGGGAGCCATGTGTGACATCCTGCAGTGAACGCTCAGTCTACCAGTCCCTCAGCTGGTGTCTGGAGAGGTATGGCGCTTCCAGCTTCACCAGACACCCCTTACGTCCCTGGGCCCATCTCCTCTGCTGAGACACGGGGAGAAGAAATTAGCAATCTTTCTCAGCAGCCTGGCCCCAGGACAGGCACTTTGTAGCCTTCATCACATTTGACAGTCACCCGGTATAGTGACACTGTTATTCTCATCTTTCCAGGACAATTCTGAAGCACAGACAAGGTGACTAACTTGTCTGAGACCCTCACAGACAGGAACAGGTGAAAAAAGAATCCACTCCAAATTCAATCCACTCTTTCACTCCACGACCCTGGCTGTGCTGGAAAAAAACAAAACAAAACAAATAAACAGGCAAAAAAAAAAAAAAAACAGACTCCGCCCCCCCCCCCGCAGTATGGCTCTATTTGTTCTCCCCCAAATACTGTTGTAAGTGGTAGGACTCAATGACCTAGACAGAGGGCAAAGAGGTCTGTGTGGTCATGACAGTGGCTCAGAACCCTTCCTTTCCCGTAGCTCTTGTCTGATTTCAGGCGATTGCCCTCCTGCCAGACTCCCTGTGGGAACTTGATTCTACTATCTTTGTGATCTCTGCCTCTAGATGTTTCCATGTGGCAGAAGTCTATGTAGCCCTAGCATGCAAAAGTCCTGACCTCCAACGGTTGGAGAACAGATGCAGAGAGGTCCCTTTCACCTGCAGAGGGCTGGTTCTAGGAGGCAATCCCCGCACTTGCCAGGTCCCAGCAGTATTTGCCATGCCCTGACTTCCTCCTTGTCCTCTTCCTGTCCAGTGAGTAACTCCCAGCTAAGCTATCTATACCCTAGCCCTCCCCTCAGGCCAAAGCAAAGCCTTGCCTGTTCACTGACCTCACCGCAAAGCCACTGATGAGAGAGTGGGTGGAGAGGTGGTGGGTGAGCTCTTTGATGGAAGGCTTACCCGGGTCGTTTCCCTTTCCACACCCTACCCACTGCCACAATCTATTGCATCCATTGGTGCTCCCAGGTACTCTGGTGCTGACTTTCAAGTTTTCTGACTGCAGCCACCTTGCTCCAAACTCCCCATCAAGCCCGTCCTTGGAACAGACAAATACTCACACACCTCATCTCAGGACCAGAACCCGTGTCGTGTCTCCATGCTTTACCTCTAAGGACACGGTGCATCCAGGTAACATAAACTTCATACTTACAGGAAGGGAAAATCCCCCGTGGGAGCCTCAGACAACTTGCCAGCTCCCTTTTCCATAAACTCATAAGAATTCTTGTTTTCTACCTGGCTAACGTCTAAAATCATCCACCTCAGCTTTTCACGTTAGATGTGTTATATTCTGTAGGTTGTTCATGGACCAGGAGAGGAGAAGAGACAGCGCAGTGAAGGGAAGAAAGGACACGGCTAGTAAACACGCAATCACAGAAGCCTGGAGCTGCAGTCTTGAGTTGCATATAGGCACACACATGCTGACAATAGGGACAACTCACTCCCAAAACTGGACCAGGCCAAGTCTTTCTTGTATCTTACCTGCATGGGCACAATTCCAGGAATGCGATCTTTGGCATCTTCTGGGATGTGTGCTGTCTTCAGATGTGGGTCCCCAGAGAGCATTTGCAGGTCTGCTCCCAGCATCTCAGCTAAGGCCCCTTCTGAAGTCACTCTTGCATACCGGCTCTGCAGACGACTCAGCTTGGCAGCCATCTTGGCCCCCAACTCAGGGGAGGCATAGTTATCTGCCACTAGCTTCCCAGCTGTCTGCAGTACTGTGGGCACCTTGGCGCGCAGGGCTACTATGTCCTGGGCTGTGGTAAGGGCCTCACTCATGGGCACAGTGATGTCGGGTTCCACACCAGCCAAGTCCCAGGCCTCGCCCGTGGTAGCACTCAGGGCCATCTGGGTAGGCATGGAGGCATATAAGGTGCTGTTGCCCACCTGGTAGATGCCCACAGAGAGTGCCCCTCCGGCTGTGGGCTCTCCGATGACTGTGGCTCGCTGTAGGTCCTGCATGGTATGAGCAAAGGCCTCGGCTGCAGAGCCACTGGTGTGGCTCATGAGGATATAGAGGTCCTTGTGGGGACCGTAGCGTTTCCCGGCAACCAGTGGCAGGGTCCATATCTCTGTGACCCTAGATGTCGCCCTATCAAAAACAGAATAGAGGTGCCGGCGGGGTTCCGCCTCGAAAAAATAGGAGCAGAGCAGGGGCACGGCGGAAGAGTAGCTGCCAGGATTGTAGCGCAGGTCAACAACCAGAGCCGCTGTGTCCACGAGCCTCTGCCACACCAGTCGTACTAGCTGAGGCCCGATGGCCTTCACCGTCTCGAGTTCCGCCATGGCATCGAAACGCAAATACCCCAGCTCACCCGGTAGCACGTCGGTTTTGAACAGGGCCTCGATGAGATAGGAGAGTTCCTCTGGGGAGGGAACAGCAGGGGGTGGCAGAGGTACCTCCTCGGCCACCAGCTCACCAGGGCTGTGGAACACCAGCAGGCGATGGTCCTCGGATACCTCCTGCAGGTCAGCTGTGAGCTGCGAGGCCAGTGACTCCAAGTCCACAGCCGTGCGGTAGGCTCCCTGGGCCAGCTTGGAGCGCAGGAGAGCTCTGGCCTGCCCCGCGACCTCTGGCCTGGCATAGTGAGCCTCCAGCAGGCGACCGGTGCCTTCTACTAAGGTACCCAGGCTGCGATGGAAGTCCAGAACCTCCTGAGCTCTCTCTAAGGCCTCTTCGGCCAACACGATGGCATCCGGCACCACACCACCACCCAGCCAGGCCTCGCCGTGGTTGTCGATAAAGGTGAGCACAGGTACCGTGAGTGCCAGGCCGCCCTCCGGCGAGTCCAGCAGTGGTACCGTGCAGGTGTGCAGCAGGCTCCCGGCTGTGATTTCACCTACCAGGGTGGCCCAACCCAGGGACTGCATTAGGAAGGCGAACTCCTCAGCAGCGGTAGCCGTCCTGTGACTGGTAAGCAGATACACCCCACGCTGGTGGCCGTATCGTTTTCCTAGCAGCTCCCTGTGGCTGAAGTGCTCCTGGGTGACATTGGTGCGGCGGTCATAGGTGGTGAAGAGGCGCATGGGGCCAGCCTCAGGGCCCTGGAAATAGGATAGCAATAGAGGCACAGTAGAGGACGGCCCCCCAGGATTGTGGCGCAAATCCATGATGAGGTGCTCCGTGTCCTGCAGGGGCTCCCACACCTGGCGCAGCACATAAGGGCCCAGTACTCTCAGTGCAGAAGTGTCCGCAAATCTGTCAAAGCGTAGGTAGCCCACATTGCCCGGCAGCACGGATACCTGAAACACAGAGTCCACTAGGGCCCTCAGAGCAGCTTCTTCCTTGGGCACCTCAGGAGCGGCTTCTGGAGGGTCATTAGGCCCAGTCTCGGGCCTAGAGGAGCTTTCTCTGGGTCCAGTGACTCTCACCAGGAGCCTGGGATCCTCGGATACAGCCTGCAAGCCAGCATTGAGCTTTGTCACAAGGTCTTCCGCCGAGACCACAGCTGAGTAGTCCATGCTAGCCAGGCGGTGTAGCAGGCCCGGCACTCGGTCCACCAGTGTGTAATAGTCCTGCAGGGCTTCCTGAAGCCGGAGCACCACCCCCGGGAGGGCACCGCGCAGGGTGAGGATGGCCAAGGCCTTTTCTAGGGCTTGCTCCGCTGGTATCCCCACGCAGGGCAGCACTCCACTGCCTTCCCACGTCTGGCCACCTCCTCCCAAGGGTCCCAGGGACCTGGACACGGGCAGTGTGAGGAAGAAGTTGGACTGACCTATTCTCAGCTTCTGGAGGTCCAGGGCACCACCCTCCGTCCGCTCGCCCACCACGATGCCCCTCCGCATCTGCTTGAGGATGTAGGCGATGTCCTCAGCCACACCCCCAGTGCGACTGCTGGTGAGGACTACCACATCTTTGTCAGCGCTGTATCTCTCCCCTAGGACCTTGGGCAGGGTCCAGATCTCGGTGGTGGTATTGGAGGGGCGATCATAGATGGTATCCACGTGCATGACGGTGTTCCCAGGGTACAAGTAGGAGATGAAATAAGGGATCCCAGAGATGTGACCACCAGCACAGTCCCGGAGATCGAGCACCAAGGAGGAGGTGTTCATGAGTTGCCTCCACATATGGGTCACCAAGAACCCCCCCAGCTCACTCAGTACCTCCTGGCTGGGGAAGTCATCCACTCGTAGGTAACCCACGTTGCCCTCAAGGACCTCATGGTGGATGCTTTTCTGTAGCTGGGCCAGTAGTTCTTCCCGGGTGAGGTTGGTGAGTGTCGGTGCTGGCTGGGGAGCCTCTAGGGTGCTGGGCTCATAGGAGATGAAAAGGCGTGGGTCATTCAAGGAACTCTGCACTCCGGCTGTCAGCACGTGGGCCAGCGTCTGAGGGTCTGAGATGCCCAGAATCTCACGACTCTTCATAGCCTGCTCAATGGCTGCTTGCATTCCCATCAGGTTCTCGGGGAAGCAGTAGTTATCCAAGAGGACCTTAGCCAGGTCCAGCACCAGGCTTGACTGGAACAGGTGCTGCATAGGGTCGGCCAGAACACAGAGCAGCGTGGGCAAGACCAGGACCCATTCTCTCATGATTGGGATCCCAGGAGCTTTGGCTCTTGAGTCAGAGCCCCCTTGACTGTGTACAAGACCGGGGTCCGGCTCTCACAGCTGCCTTTCTCCCTTGTCCTTCTTAGCAGGCAGACAGAAGGTCTGGGGCTCAACGTGGGAGTTAGATGTGAGGCTTCCAGCTCTGGTAAGCCTTTAATCCTGTCTAATTCAAGTGCGTGCACCAGGGCACTAGGAAGAAGAGGCCAGGGTGGTTTGACCCGGAAGGAACGCGGCATCTCATCTTGCCGAGCCGTGTCTGCATAGAGTGACACAGATAATTGTGTTTATTTTGAGCTCCTGCCATGTGCTAGGTCCTGAGCTATGCTTTCCACACTCACAGTGTTTATTAAAGCATTGCAAATGAGAGTTGTTAATCTATAAATAAATATCATTTCCCCGCTACTGTGGGTGACCCAGGGCTCTGGAATTAGGTAGATGTAGTTGGAGGTCTGGTTCTGCGGCTGTCTCTTCCCTAGATTAGGAAAGCATCTCGTTTATTCATGAGACTATGTGAGTTATTGGGTGGATTAAATACGAAAGTTTTCACAAAGAATCGCAGTGTCTGGAAGTTACCAATGAGGGATCTATAACAAGTCTCATATATATATTTTGTTGCCAGGGAGTTCAGTAGGTAATTGATCCCACCATTTCAGATGGGGACGGCTGAAAGGCAGTGAGAAGAGGCTAGGAAGGCCACCATTATCTCAGTGCCAAGGCTGAGTCTGGGACCATTTCTGGGCTAAGGAACTGAAGTGTGTCCTTATACCCTGCTTATATTTCTCGGTACAACAGGTCTCCTCACAAATTTGCAACAAGATAAGTGAAGTGTCCGGATTTCCGTATCCAGTGTGACAGGTGAGAGTAACACGGCCTCCGTAGTGCCAGATCAGATCAGGTTAACTGTGAGATCTAGTGAGCATTGTTCTCTGTGTAAGTGAGGACTCCTGTTGGCGAAGGGTTCAGCTTCAGCCCAGTGCTTGCAATGAGAAGTGAGTGGTTCTTGGTGGCTCCAAGTCACACAGAGACTACAGGTCATTCTCATTCCTGTGGGAATACACCTGGGAGCCAGTCCCAGATGCGTTGCTATGCACCCACCGCCTTTTCCTCATGAAAGGGCTATGGATTTTGCTTGTGTCTTGCCCTGGATATCTAAGAACACCTGCCATGGAGCCCACACCTAGAACCCCTGCTTTGCCCAGCCAGCCTCTTAGTGGGCACGTTCTCTCACTTGGCAGATAACCCTAGGTCAGATTGTAGGGGAGGGTGGGGGTGTACAGACAGGGAATAGCAGTTGGTGCTGCCACTTCCTATGCCCTCCTTCTGGCTTCTTGAATTGTGTCTAGAACACACTGGCCGGGCTCAGTGAATGGCAGATAGCCCCATGGTGTCAGAGCCAGAGAAGGGGGTCTTTGGGATGAGGATGAGAGAGCTTACCCTGCAAGCTGGAAACCCACAAGACAGTTTCTGGAAATCGTTATCTGAAGATGTTTACCAAGTAGTTTACAAAGGCCAAAGAGGTCAGTTCGCTAAAACGAACATATTTTTAGCTCATTAGGATTTGTTTAATACCCAAGGGACATATGGTCTCATCACTCCCCTGTTTGCAGCCAATGGAATCAAGGAAGATTTACTGTCGGAATCAGACCAGGGTGGGAAGACACAGACCTCTCAGCAGGGACTGAGCCTTTGGGAAGCCACAACTCTAAGCATGCTGTCAGAGTTCCTCTGAGGGTACGTGTCTGTCACTGCTGGAGCCCAAGCTAAGCTCTGGACAGGGAGAAGCAGAGACTATCAGGAACAATGCTGTTCTATAAGAAGCATGTATCGCAAAGACGCCCTCCAAGGATAGGCGGCAGAGGGTCCTCGTGTATACAAATGAACAGCTGCCCAGTGTGGACTGGAAAACCACCTACAACCCTTTCCACTGCCTGGGGGACATGATACCTTGGCTGGGAGACATGAAATCTAGATTAGGTTATAGACAGAGGTACGTCTGTAGAGAGCTATCTGTTAATACATTTGTCTGTTCACCACCCGACTGTCCATTATTTTAATGCCAGGACCTTCTTGTCAGTCTTGCACCATGGCGTCAAAATACCAGAGACAGACAAGTTAAAAGAGGACAATCTTACATTGGTTCATGGTTGCAGAGCTTTCTACTGGCTTCATTGCCTTTAGTTAGGCTGGTGGCAGAACATGCTAGAAAAGGCTGCTCATCCCATGGTGGACAGTTATGAGGGAGAGAGGGGGCAGGAAGAGGTAGAGAGAGGGAGGGGAGAGGAAGGGGAAGGGAGGAGAGGAGAGAGGAAGGGAGGGAGGGAGGGAGGAAAAAAGGAGGGAGGAAGGGAGAGAGAGAAAGAGAGAGAGGGAGAGAGAGAAAGAGGGAGAGAGAGAAAGAGAGGGAGAGAGAGAAAGAGAGGGAGAGAGAGGGAGGGAGGGAGGGAAGGAGAGAGAGAGAGATTACTTGTAAAACAAAACAAAATTACTTACCTTTGGCGATCAGGAGCCACTTGGAAGTCCCCAAGTTGTGTCTGGTCAGTATTCGGTCACAGGAACAGAGAAATAAGGCAGATCCCCTTCCCAGGTACTTTCATCAGGGCTGCCATGGTGTTTTCAAATCTTGCTTCTTCCCCGGAAGCACATGAGCTCACAGTTTCTTGGTTTGACCTGACTTTAGCTTTTTTTTTTTTTTTGATGACATCATAAAGAAACCAATTACCTACCATCTCGATTATTTCATTTAAAATGAGCAAGTGGTCTGGGGAGATGGCTCAGTGGATAAAATTCTTGCCCCGGAAGAATAAGGACTGGAGTTCTGACCCTCAGCACCCACACGGATGTCAGCTGGGCATGGTGGCTCACATGTAATCCCAGCCCGTAGGAGGCAGAGGCTGGGTCCCCAGAGCAGGCTAGCTAGCTAGGTTGGTCTAGTATAAGTGAGAGACCCTGCCTCAAGATAAGAGTGATGGACACCTGACACCAACCATTGGCTTCCACATGCATGAACAACCCTCCCCACAGGCATGCACACACATGAGAACTTGAATACATGCACGTGCATACCACCAACACATAAAAGATGGGATGCTTATGAATGCTCCAGATCCCACATGGCATTTCTGATTATTATTTATTGTCCTTGCTTTATAAACACTTTGACCCAAAACGTGACATAGACTACAGGAGCCCCCGGCCCCCTTTAAACCTGCACACCATTCAATCTATCAGCTATAGCAAAGGGGCTTCTACAGCTCCTGTCCAGACGTTCCTATGTTAGGAATTATCAGGACTACAGGAAAACCAAGTCCAAAGGGATGCAGGTGAGAGGATGCTGCAGAGACTGATAGTGGGAACATTTTTCTGAGAGCAGGGATGTGTAGTAGTGGAACAAGTTCATTGTCTGGCGAACAGTAATCATCTGAGCAGGATGAGTCCAAGGAAAGCTAAGGCAAGCACATGGCTGTCTAGAGTGATCACTTACAAAGCACAGACTGCTATCCAAAGAGAAAGGGGTTCTAAACTTGGTGCAAATCACCTGAGGTGTCTCCTTGCTATTCTTGTTAAAGGCAAAGCTGGGGCCGTGCAAGGCAGAGAATGGCATGTCTTCCAGCTGTTTCCCATGGGGGTGCCATGTGGATACACCTAGCTGGTCTTTGAGAGATGGGTGGTTTCACTGCCTATGACTCACAGATTGGAGAGACCCTGTGGTCTTCCTTGGTACATATTAGGACAGAGATGACAGGGTCGTCAGACCCCAGGGCAGGTACTCTGCAGCAAAGCACAGATTCTGTCTGCCTAGATTGACGAGGCCTGAAACCACTTCCAGAGATTTGTCCCTCTGCCCATGTGTCTGGCACATTTTCTCAGCTCTCTCCCCTTGTTCCTGGGACAGAGGTAGAAGGTGGCTTCTCCATGAGCAGTGGAAGGACAGCAATCTCCTTCCATGGCTTCAGCATCTCCACGAACATCACAGTGACCTCTGTACCATATATAGAGGGTGCTTTAGGAGCTATGCCCAATATAGCACTGCAGGTGGGTTAACCGACCATGTTAGTGACCAGAGAATGGCTGTATTGTGTTTCAACCCGGGGCGGCAGGTGAGCAAGTTTTGATAAATGCCATGAAAAAATAATCCAGTGGCATGAAAGCCAGAGACCCACCGTGAGTCTCTCCTTGTATGTCCTGTTATTGTGTACTGGCCCACATCAGTTTGTCCTGTGACAACAGAGCATGTGGCTCTCCAGAAGTGACCAAAGCAAAAGGCTTATGGTCTTACCTGAGGACTCATGACCATGAGGCACCCAAGCCAGGAGTCATATCAGCTCCCCGTGCTGGGTCTTAGAACTGTGTAACAAATTGTCACGTGCCTGGTGATGGAGATGCTGAAGACTGGGATGTGTTTCTGGAAAGGGAAGTCCTCCATGGCGGCTGTGGAGACAGGATCTGAGATGCAAACACATGCAGAGGAGCACCTACCTAGTGTCCATTTTTTATAATACCAAAGTCAGACTTCATGGTTTTCTGTAAGGGACACCAGACCCAGATTTGTCTTCTGTGGAGGCCTTGAATGGGGGAGATGCTCCCCTGAGTCAGGACTGACACTCTCCAGAGCTGGAGCACCCAGTAGGCCAGAGTGAGTGGTACTAGAGCTTGGGGTCTCCCTCACAGGTGATGACATGTGGGTTGTGCAGCTAGAAATTGGGGGTGGGAATGGGCAGGACATTGGCCTAGGGAAGGAGAACGGGGTGAGCTTGAGAGTAGAGTTAGTCTGGAGAGAAGGGCTTTGAGCATGGTAGACAGATACTGGCAGAGACACGCTTGGGCAATGGGTGGAGATAAACTAAGGTCTTCTGTCTCCTGGAGAGAGATGTTCTGCTCTGATGTGTGTATCTGTGTGTGTTGGGGAAGAGATAAAGTGGGGAAGCTAACTTCTTGCAAACTTCTGTCCACATAGTTGCTCATACCAGCATACATACACACAGACACACAAATACACACACAAATACACACACACACACACACAAATGCGTTCGCTGACCCCATTGTGCAGATATCATACTCTTTTACCCTGTGGAGGCTCTATGTTCCTCCTGCCTGACTCCCGAACCCCAGGTAAAGTGTTGGAACATCTCCTAGGGGCTAATCAGGCAGGTGGGCAGGGCTGGGGAACTGGAGAGGCCTCAACTCTGACCTCACATTAAGGAAAGACACATACCAGACATTAGACTTGATTTCTAAGTATTTTTTTTTCCTCATGCACAGAGAACCATCACTAGGACCTAGAGAAGACATCACTACCCACCGCCGCCTGGAAATAACACTGCCATGCCACACTGCCTGGCATGGCTCAGGAATTTATCGTTTCTTCAACTCTACCAATAGTACTTAATTGTGGTTTGTGTTAAAGACGTTCATTGATTCCATGTAATTTAATGTAGTTCATTGTTTTAAATTATGTGGGAACATCAATCAATGAGAGTAGTCCAGATCTTCCCCTCTGGGCCCTGCCTGGCTGAGGGCATAAGGCTCTTCCTCACCCCATCCAGTCCTATGAACCACCAGGAGAGTCGGGTGAGAGGCTGAGGCACAGGAATGGAAACACTGTCCTCCTTGGGGAACACAGTACTCAAGGAAGCTGGCAGCTGCTGGTAGAGTCAATGGCATTAGGTGAACAACAGGACTGTCTTCACACGCTGGGACACCGCACCCAGTAAGGCCGGACCTCTCATCATTTGAATGCAAGTCACCAAGGAAGGCAAATAGGCAAGCTTCAAATAGTTAACCAATAGCACATTTGGTCCCAACAGATCCAAACCCTGCCTTGTCCTCTGTGGAGTCCCCAGGCAGGAGATGTTCCTGCCTGGGCAGTTGTCCAGAGTAGACCATTTCAGAGGCCCAAGTCATAGGTAGTCTCTCCCGATGGTCCCAGAATTGGAATAAAGGATTGCAAGTGCTCTTACATGACCCCCGAAACACATGAGAACTGGCCTAGTAGTGAAATCCGATCAAATCACAGCGAGCATCAGAGGGGAGGTCCTGAATGGCCTGTCCATTCTGTGCTTGCTTGGGGATATTTACTCAGGGGTGGGGTTTGGTCAGACATCACAGGGTGAGCATGGGCATGGAGTAAGCAGATCATACTGGGGCACAGCAAGCGGTGGGTATGGACTTGGCTCAGCCCTGCCTGGCCCCATGCTGGGTCTTCCACATCTAATGACTCCTTAAGTACCCAGTGATCTGTTAAACTGAGGTGCTTTGGAAGGTCCCAGGCTTTAGGGCTCCCACACTCAGGGCAGACTCCCACCACCGAGTTATCAAAACTTGCTTGCTGAGTTTTGATCTCTACAACTGACAATCAGAGGTCACAGTGCACATCTCAGTGGGGTGTGGAAAATAACATGAAATGAAGGATGGAGCCTACCTCTTCCTTTCCTTCCTCCATGTCTCTGCTTCCTGGACCCTAGAACTCCCATGACTCCATACACGTCACTTGCATCTTCTGCTGGTTTCTGCTTACTTTTCTGCTATTCCCCCATCCCTCTTCCTCCCATTTCTTTTTCATCATTTCCTTTCTACCCACTAACCTTTCCAGGGTCTCCTATTCTGCCCACATAACCGTATACCCCAGTTAATGACAGTTCAGCAGAGGAGACAAGAGAAGACAAGTCACTGGAGACAAGAAGGGCGAGTGATTCTTTTCCTTCTCCAGGATGGTTTCAGATCATCTTAGACCCTGTTGTGCCCGGGGGGGTTGCAGGACCCTATCAGGACCTCTTCCCTATCCTTCATCCCCACCCCAAGTGGCTGCAGGGACTACCTGCAGCCACACTCCGCCACACTCATTCCCTCATAGTGGTACTTGAGGGTTGGCACCCCCATATCATCCTTGTAGAGGATGGAGATGGGACTCAGTTTGGTGGGAACGCAGCAGGCTTTGCCCACCTTCGTGGGGAACTTGAGATGCACCAGGGTCTGCACAATGGCATGCTTTGTGGGTGTCACATCATCAGCCAGTGGGAAGAAGCAACCTCCTTTACACTCGTAGGCATCGTATTCCTTGGGTGCAATGATCCAACTGTCCCAGCCTATGTCCTCAAAGTTCACCCTGAGTGATGTCCTCTGGCAGTGGCTGCTGGCCCCAGTGCTCCTCTTCCTTCTAGCTAAGAAAGGTCCCACAGCTGTGTGCCCATCTGCTTCCTCCTCCTCATGGCTCTCGCCTGCTTCCTGGAAACCACTCCTGGATGTCTTCACAAGCACGGTCTCCTGCTCATGGCCGATCATCTCCTTCAGCTCCAGTCTGGTCTCTTTGGTCCCGTTGCTGCGGTCATTGGAGAAGACGACAAAGAAGGGCAGGTTTTTGGAACCTGGTGGGACGCTGATGTCCAGTGTGTCACAGCCCTTCCTATGGCTCTCCACTGTGACTTCTAACTTATTCTTGTTTGTGGCGGAGTCTGCCCTGACCCATCTCTTCACAGCACTCGATACTTCCAAGGTCTCCCAGCCTTCATCCTGAATGTCCTGAGATACTAAGAAGGTCCTGGTCCCCGAGGCACCATCCCAAGAGTCATCTCCATCCAGAACATCATAGACAACCATGTTTCCTTCCAGCCCACGAGTGGAGTCCACGTGATTTTGGCAAGAGACATAGAGGCGGAGCTCAGCCCTTGTGATCTGCTCGTGCCGAGGGATGGAGATGTTGAAGAGTAGGATGTGTTTCTGGAAGGGGAAGTCCTCTGTGGCAGCTGTTGATATAGCATCTGAAACGCAAACACACGCGGGGAGCGTCTATCTGGTGCCCATTTTTATGATACCAACGCCTAACTTTGGTTTGCTTTGAGGGACATCTAGGACAATAGATTTTGTCATTGTTGTCTCCACTCTGTGTCAAGAACATTCAGGAAGGTTCTCTTGGAATTATTTTTCCCCAGAAAAAAAAAAACAGAGGCAGGTACCTTCAGTTAGGGTTAATAGTATCTACTATCTATTGAGCACCTACTGTGTGCTTGGCATTGCACTATGAGTTTGGGAGGATCTAGTTATTATCCCAACTTCACACATGTGGAGATCAGCATCTAGAAGTGTTTATTGTTAGAGTACACACAGATAATTAGCAGTCTCATCTAAGGCAGGCCAGGAAATAGGTTGTCAGCTTTAGAATGAAGATTCTACAGTCCTGGCTGGGGCCAAAGAAAGTCCATAGTTAGATAAAGTAAAAAAAAAAAAAAATCACAGCATTAGAATGTTTAAATAATTTGGAATATGTTAATAGCTTCCATCAAAAGTGAAAGTGGATTTTTTTTTTTAAGAGGAAAAGCATTTCCGTCCCAACAGTTTTGTCATCATGGGCAAAGGTGGGGATTTTTCTCTTAGCCTCCTAATTGTCTAGTTTCCCACTTCCAGGCTGCGGCTTGAGCATGACACTGCCATTTGTGGGTCCCCGCCCACACACCATCACCGCCCATCCTGGGCAGACACGTTCTGATACACCCAGAGGATGCCCGGAAGTACAGATGTTTCTAAGCCTGGCACACAGTGTTCCTTCTGTATGCACGCATGCCTGCGGTGAAGTGCAATGTGTAAACCAGGCACAGTAAGAGCTTCACCATGAGTAAGGAAAAACGAGAATTAAAAATAAAAATCACACCCGTAAGTTGTGAGTCACTGTTTTGTGATTTACATTTAGTAGTTATGGACCACAATAGAACCTTTGAAACAGACCTGGGTTCTCTCAGATTAGGGAGACTCCTGTATCCGTCACCGTGAGGAGAGACCCATGCTGTGCTGAAACCTAGCTAGTAGTCTACAGATAGGAAGCGTCAGTCCTGACTCTGCTCCTAATTGAGCTGGTATTCTTGGAAAGTTTTGAGTTTCTGGGTGCCTCAGTTTCCTCTCTTGTAGAATGGGGCCCATCTTACCTGCTTTTATTAAGGTAGCATATGGGACTTCCAGGCCAGTCATGAGCTCAGTTAACACTTCCATCCCCCTCCCAAGCCCTGCAAGCCCAATGCCTGTGACAAAGCCTGTGGCCTTTACTCAGGCTCTCTGTGGTCTCCTCACTCAGCATGGATGCCCCATTCTGGCTCCTGAATCACATGGCGAAAGCCATGGCATATCAGAACAGTGGGAACTGCGCACTGTATTCGTGGCCTGAGGTGATCATACCGTGGCATACCTCTACAGAGGCCACCAGACCACTGTCAGACATGAGAAATCACATGCTTAGTGGGAAGAGACAGATGTTTCCCAGGTCATGTATGTTTGTATGTGTGCATGCATGCATATTGATGCTGTTGTTGCTGCTAGTGTGTGTAATAGATGTGTCAAGGATATATGTGTAGGTGGACTGGTGTCTCTGGCTGGGCTTCACATTCAAGCACATGGAATAGGATGATTTAGGCCGCAATAAAAACAAAACAACAAAACAACACCTCCCCCCAAAGAAAACCTCATCCTCTCTCTAAAGCAGAGATCACAGACAATCCCAGAGGCCTGGTGACCTGAAAACTGTATGTTTTTAAAAAAATAAATCCATATTTTTTTTTTTAAAGAAGTAAGACAAGTTCCCTTGAAACTTCTGTTGGGCAGTCAGAAAACGCAGCAGCACTCAGCACGTTTGTCCTTAGACAGGTACACACTCTGCAGGCTGAACTGATCTGGCCAGTACTGGCTGTGCTTCTGAACTGGGGCCCTTGAGCAAATCTCTGGACCAGAAATGGGGAGGCCCCGGGTTCCTGGTCCTTAAGAGTGAGATGCCACAACAGGATAAGGGGAGCTGGTTCTGTGCAGTAAATACAGCCAGTGTGCTTTGCAAGTGTGCCTGGTCTGTCTTCCTCAGTCCTGGCAACCCAGCTTTCTGCCCAGGAACTCATTCTACCCAGATTCTGGAATTCTAGGACTCATCAGCTATGGACCTCACCTCCATGTTTATTTTCTAGTCTTTTAAAATCAAAGACACTTGATTTAAAAACGTATCGGATGGACAGACACAGAACTACTGTGCCGAGAAAGATTCCATCTAAAAAAATAATAAGGATCTCTTCTAACATTAACAAGTCTCAGGTTTAAAAAGGATTTTATAACAGAAACTGGCTTTCCTTTAAAAACTTCAAAACAAACAGGCTTATTTCTATTTCTAAGTCTGAAGGGGACAAGAAGGGAGAGAAGAAGAGAAATCAGGAGGAAGGGAAAGGGAGGAAATGGAAAGGGAGGAGAGGGAAGGGGGGAGAGAAGTGGGGGGAGGGGGATAGATGGAAGCAGAAGCCTGGCATCCTTGACACCTGATGGCTTAAAGGAGGCTATGCCCCAGGGGAGGAGCCAGGCTGTCAATCAGAATCTTCGGTGTTGATGGACAAGTCCCATGATTTGCACAGCCCTTTGGGGGAAGCCACTAAGCACACAGAAAAGCTCATCGGAATATTTGCATCTTCACCCTGTTTTAACACTGTGATTCCCTTCAGTATAAGCTTGAAGAGCTGCTTGTGGTGGTGGTGGTGGTGGTGGGGCACTTTGCTGTGGGGGCGGGGTGCCGTATGTCCCACCCCATGAAACCCTGGGGGAATTCCGCACTCTACCTTCCACACTGAAGCTCCGAACGATGTTGGAGGCCGGAGTGGACGACTTGTCGGTCGTGTACCTGTTGTACAGGTCGATCATGTACTGGGGTGGCTCCACTCTGGTTTTGTCCTGGGAGGGGATGCCGCTCAAGTTGAGGCTGCGCAGGAAGTCCACCTTCATGTTCTCCAGGAACATCTTCAAGTCAAAGACACCCTCCTCTCCACCTCCAGACAACCCCAGTGAGCTGCGGGCGTTTCCCCCGGGGGATGGCTGGACCCAGTCCTGCAGCGGCTTCTGGTGTGTGGGACAGACCAGCAGGAACAGCAAGAGCAGGGCCACCCAGAAGGCCCCAGGGGACATCTTGGGCCCTAAGGAGGGGCTGCAGGGCTGTTGTGGTATGTCACCAGGTGCAGCGAGGAGGAGCCCGGGAGAAGCGGGCCCACATTGTCCTGCTGACTGCTTAGCAGGGAGCGGAGCTGGCTCAGGTTCTCCCCAGCAGTCTGAGGCCTCCAGGCTTCTTATCTGGGTGTGGATGCTATGCTCGGACCAGTTATCTAAGGCAGCTCTCTTTAATGAACACTGTATAAACATCTAAAAAGCACTCGGGCTGGTGGGAAGGACACAGGCTACTGTAAAGGATCGGCATTTCTCCGGGGGGTCATCCACCCTAATTAGGATCTTCGTTTATTTCCTTGCTGGCTTGGTCAGAAGACTCTCCAGGCAGAGGGACACTGGCCCCATCCCCTGGACCACAGGGACAAAACATCCAGGAAATGAGGTCAGGAAGTTCCCCAAATGTAGAAAGCTCACCAAGTACCCAGAAGATAACACAAATTGTGGGGGCCTGGAAGGTGGGGTGAGGTGAGGACTCCAACAGGGTTGGAAAAGACCGGCCTTTGTGCTAGCAGGGCCTGATGGTGTAACTAGGCACTGTCCTCTGAGGAAAGGGCTCCTCAGTATTACAAATGGAGCGCGCAGGGCCTAGCACACTCAGCGTGCCCGTGATGTCCCAGCCAACACAGATGAGGACTCCAGTCCCAACTCCCTTGCTTGTTCCCCCAAGCTGTGGCCTCAGCTCTTTCAGCCTCCCTTTCACGAGCAGAGAGGTAAGGACTTAGGAGATGTGTTAGCATACACGAAGGCAGCCGCTGGCAGCTCCTAGCAGTGGGCGGTTGTGTTCAAGCAAGCCTCCAGTGCTGGTTTGACTCTGAGTTGGATCCGGGGGAGGAAGTTCTGTGTCTAGGTCAGCTGCTTCTTAGTACCATAAACAGTTGCATCCAGAGACCCTGAGCTCCAGCCCTGTCCCTGGTCTGTGTGGTGCTGGCGTGTGCAAGTGTACCTGCATAGGTGTGTATGTGTGTGTGTGTGTGTGTGCATATGTGATTCATGTTAGTGGGGAGGCCATCTGGATCGTACCTATCAGTCAGGAGACCCACACAGCAGTTGGGGTACACAGGAGCAGTTAGGCGGTTCTGAGACGGATCCCATGCCCAGAGATGGCTTCTAGCCTGTGAAGGCTGCTTGTGACAGCCCAAGGACCCTGTGTATTAAGAGCTGTGTCCCCATGCTTAGCTTCCATCTATTTCCACCACAAGTGGCATTAATAAAAAGCAAAGAAAGAGCACAGCTAAAAATATTTGCAATGAGTGGTGGCCTACTCCAGAGAAGATAGGGTATGATGTTCTGTGCTAACGGGGCTCCTGGGGAGAGGGTACAGAAGGTCATGGCAGGCTGTGGTCAGAGGACTCAGTGTGGGAGGGTGAACTGGCAGACACATTCAGGGGAGAAGGAAAGGACACAGTTGAGGAGACACTGTCTGGGGGATGGATAAGGAAGTGTGCTGGGTACCGATTCCGTGTAAGAAGTATCAGGGCTGGAAGAAGAGGAATGGAAGAACTGCCAGGTCCAGGAGATGGAGATGAAATGGCGATGCCAGTGATCCAGGAGGAACTAGAGGACCATCTGGACAGTCTCACGACGTGCCATAGCCTCTGGGGTCAACAGGTCCCATCTATACTCAGAGGCCAAGCTCAAGGGCCTCCCGGAGAACAGTAGGAGCTCTTGACAGTGCAAAGGGCTGCTACCCAATGTATTAAAAACTAGACAAAATTTCACCCCCCTAATGATAGCAGCATATGCTAAAGAAAACCTGGGACAGGCCAAACATGAAAGATAAAAATCCTTTACAGCTTCACAACCCAGCAACACCCAGAGTTACAGACTCAGACATGTACTATGAGTCCCTGCCAAACTCTGGTGGCCTGGAATGCTTCGGGATTAGGAAAGCTTCCGACTGTCACCACGTCGTCTCAGGCAGCTGCTGTGCTGTGGGAGAGGCATAGAGGCATAGCTGAGGGAACACAAGAGGCATATTTGGTTCATCCATTTATTTCAGGTGTCACTGAAGCCTGTTCTCCCAAGGTGGGAACCTGGGTCTCATCTGTCATTTACAGAGGTGAGAGTGGGTTCACCTGAGTTTCCATACCATGGTCGTCCTAGGATATCAGACACCCCTTCTGTCCCAGAACACACACTCTCTTCCTGCAATTCTTTGCTTTTGTTTTTTTCAAGACAGGGTCTCTCTGTATAGCCCCAGTTGTCCTGGAACTCACTTTGAAGACCAGGCTGGTCTCGAACTCACAGAGATCCACCTACCTCTGCCCTCCAAGTGCTGGGGTTAAAGGCGTGCACCACCATGCCTGGCTTCCTACAGTTGTCCAGAGGAACAAAAATCCATCCCTGTGGAAGCTGCAGGGAGTGGCTGGAGGCAGATAGAGCCAGGATGGATTACTTACCAGATCTGGGCAGAGTTTCCCTGAGAACCTGTTTCCAGTTGGCCCATGATAAGCACAGATTCATTGAATGCTCCTGGCCTGGGCCTGTGACAGTGCCCAGTCAGAAAGTCTGATCCACTGACCAGCCACCCTAACACCTGGGAGGTTCTTAGAAACACAAAGGCTCAGAACAGAGCAGAAAGCTGTGTGATCCTAACAGGTGGTTCTTATGCATGTTCAATCTGAACACTAGATTTGGCTTTATTTGATGGGGCTCACATGCTATCCACCCTCACCAGTGTGTGTGTGCATGTGTGTGCGTGTGTGTGTGTGTGCGTGTGCGCACATGAACATATGCACATGTGGGTATATGTGTTGCTAAACATTTGCTCTAAGCACAGAAGTTTTGATAAAATAGGAGAATGGTGTGAGTCTTCTACAAAATAAAACAAGAAGAAACAGCTGTCCCACAGACTTAGTGGGTAGTGAGTCCCTGGTTCCCCTACACATACCAAAGTCTGAGGATGCTTCAATTCCATTTCTAAAATGTCCTGGAGAGATGGCTCAGCAGATAAAAACACTGCTGCTCCTTCAGAGGAACTGAAATTCAGTTCCTATCACCCATGTCAGACAGCTCACAATTTCCTATAATTCCAGTTCCAGGGCATCTGATGCTTTCTTCTGATCTTTATGGGCACCTGCATGGTTCACACATGCACACACACACTCATGCACACACACACACCCATGCATGCAATGAAAGTGAAAATAAATCTTTAAAAAAGCTTAAAACAACTACAAAGAAATGCAGAAATGAAATAACGCATGCTCCTGTTGATAAGGCAATTTCTCTGATCTAATCACTATATTGTTCATATGAATTAAAATGCTATGTTGCACCTTACAGATGTGTGCAACTTCTAAGTATTTATTGAAAGTCAACAAACATTTTAAAATAAAATAAGACCACACCATGTTTTTATGGTGCACTCTTTAGAGTTAAAATTTCTACATACACAGTATAGATTCTGGGTTTTTTTTTTTTTTTAAATGTTTTCAATCCCAGGGTGATTGAATCTAAGGATTTGGAGTCCACAGAGATGGTGTGGAAAAGTCCTTCTGTATATGTGTTGCTTTTATTGGATAATCAATAAAGCTGCTTTGGCCTACAGCAGGGCAGAATAGAGTAAGGTGGGAATTCCAAGCAGATAAAGGAGAAAAGAAGGTGGAGTCAGAGAGATGCCATGTAACTGCTACAGGAGACCTTATCCATAAACCATGAGCCTTGTGGTGATACATAGATGAATAGAAATGGGTTAATTCAAGGTGTAAGAGTTAGTTAATAAGAAGACTAAGCTTTTGGCCAAGCAGTGTTGTAATTAATATAATTTCTGTGTAATTATTTAGGGTATGGGTGGCCAAGAAACGTACAAGCAGTCTCTGCCTACAGGAGGGCAGCTGTATGGTTTATCATGATATTTGACACATAAAAATGTTAAATATTTGAATACATAAACAGAGCTACTCACATCTTTTCACTCCCAACTCATACAATCAAGAGCACTGGAAGAGATTAGAGGAGGGAGCCTAGGATTGGATGGGGCTTAAGTGACAATTGCCAGAGGCATGGAAGGAGACCCAAGCTCCAGTGAGCATCACCAGCTTTGGGGAGTAGAATGGAGAAGAACAGAACCTGGAGAAGCATCATCATCTGAGGAAGCTTTTGTTTGGATGTGGGATTTCCCTCTGCAGGCTGTGAATATGTTTTATTACCATTGATTAATAGGGAAGCTGCATTGACCTACGGCAGGACAACTGTTTAGGCAGGAAAACTAAACTGAAGGAGAGGAAAGAAGGTGGAGTCAGGTGGATGCCATGTAGGCTCCCAAGAAGTAAGAGGTAACAAACTCCAAGCCTCATGGTAAAACATAAGATATTAGAAATGGGTTAATGTAAGAGGTAAGAGCTAGCTAGGAATAAGCCAAAGCCATTGGCCAAACAGTGTTGTAATTAATATAGTCTCTGTGTGATTATTTGGGTCTGGGTGGCCAGGAAACCTAAGTGCAGTCTCCATTTATATTTAATTTTAGGCGTTGGTAAAGCAGCATAGACTAAGTTGAGCTCTCATTTCAGTGCTGTGGTGCACAGCCCACAGTCGGAGCTTGTGATCTGGTTTCCTTCTGGTCTCTCAGACAGGTCGTCTTTTAACCTCCTTGACACACCATGGTCACATGCTCCAATGCAGGCGATACCCGCAATGTTCTCCTCCAGCCAAGACCAGCTCTTCCTTCTTCTCTGACCCCACAGTTTCCCCTCCTCTTCTGAAGACCTTCTCCCATGCCTTCTCACCCCTATGCCTGACGTCTGTGTTTCTCCATCATATCAGATTTGTTTCCATTCTGGCTACAGAAGCAGCCGTAGGTATCTGGTGGCTCTCATGGTATCTTCATGAATGACGTATGCACTCAGAGTTTCTTATTGGAATGCCTCAAACCAGCCATCTGGTTTCACCAAGACTCTGCTCTCACACTCCTATAAAAACAGAACCAAACCTGAAGCTTCTCAAAGTCTGGCTTTTGGTCTGATGAGCTACTCTCTAAGATGCTCTAGCCTTCCTTTCACAGGGTGTTTAAGTTCAAGAACATAGCCCACTGGCAAGGTACCAAATTTCTCTTTCCAGACCAACACAGGCTCAGCAGAGTGACCTCAGAGACCCATGCATATCTAGGCAGTTTTCTGGAACTTTTTGGTTTTTTAGACAATGTGATGCTA